TCGTCAAACGAACCACGCATCATCTCAACCTTGAGCCTGTCTCTTATACACATCTAGATGTGTATAAGAGACAGGTGTGTGTGTGTGTGTGTGTGTGTGTGTGTGTGTGTGTGTGATGTCACTAGATATTGACTAGCGAAAGATGATTTCTTCAGTTCTTCGGAATTTTCTGCAAGATTTGTTCAGGATTTAATACCGATTTATTGATGGTTTATTTTTTCGTTCAGGCTTCAGGCTATGGGTTTCATTCAGAAATAAGTTCAGTCCTTCAGGATCTTTTCTCAACTTCTTCAAAGTCTATCAAGACCTACTGAGGAGTGTTGAAGATTTACTCAGGAGTCCTTCAGGATTTACTGAGGAGGTTTTCAGGATTTACTGAGGAGGTTTTCAGGATTTACTCACCATTTACTCCGGCATTTACTTGGGAGGTTTCGTTCAAGATTTCTTTCGGTGTGAGGACTACACCTGCGGTTAGGTTTTGATGCCCCACTACCACATCCGGACCTGACCTTCCGAGCCTAACAGACTTTTGTTAGGTGAGAAGACCAAGCAGTTGCAGAGTTCTCCGGCCAAACATTAGGAAACGTTTGAGGCCCTTTTACTTGTGTTTTTTTTTTGTGGGGCGTCAAGCTGTTGTTTTGTGGATCCTCCAGCAGACCTACCTCTCTTCTCTTCACCTCACCATGTCACCGGGGGAGAAGGGCAGAGGTCCTCCAAGGTAGGGACCACGAAAACATTACCACTCCACGACACCACACTAGAATTCTCATAGTCTGGTGTAGCTCCCATAATAAAGACCACAAAAATATATATGAACATCAAGCTTGATAAACCACAATAAAGAATAGAGTGGAACTTACCCACCCAAGAACCAGGTGATTACGCCGGGAGTCCTCTCCGAACCATACCAGGTACAGTTACCTATCATAAGTTGTTCCGTGTTCCCCCCGCATGATTTAAGTTTTGAAAGAGAAGGGAGGGAGGGGGAACATGAATCGCTCCTGCAACACATGAAAGTTGAGACGTATTGCACACCTGCCTTTCTTGCAGAAGCCTGAGTGTACTCCTCGCTATCCCCTCCCCAACTCCTCGGCCACGTTTTCCATTTGTTCGCCTCTGCTGCCCCCTTCCTAAATGCAGGATCTCATTCTCATCGTGGTCCAGGGTTGCATCACCCACAACTTTGTTGTTTTCGTATCTATATCTGCGCGCAGAAACCAGAACATGACAAATTCACAGACAAAATGTCAGCCATTGTCTTTTTTTCGTCTTTTTTTGGGGGGTAACACACAAGCCCCTTCTATTCTTTGGGGGGGGGGGGGGGGGGCTCTCTCTCTCTCTGGGTCTCTCTCTCTCTCTCTCTCTCTCTCTTTCTCTCTCCTTGGCAGTTATCTGACCCCCCCCCCCCCCCTCTTCCCCGTCGACAAGCA